TCAACCCGGACCGTGAGCACCCCTAGATGTAACCGCGCGCGCGAGAGAGAGAGAGAGAGAGAGAGAGAGAGAGAGAGAGAATGGCAGTGTAACCACAAGAGATAAATAATGGCGGTGTAACCGTGAGAGAGATATAATGGCGGTGTAACCGCGAGAACTGTAAAGGATAACAGATAAAATACTGATAATTGCACATACTTATTATAAGTCTTGAAGCTTTGAATATATATTGCTTGAATAAATGTAATACACTCACTGGACCTTTTAGGTTTAATACTCAGTTGTTGGACTAATCTGTTTTGCAGGTCATCATACATCACAAGACAAATACAAGGGGAAAGTTTAAGCAATGATATTTAGATGCGTATAAGTATATTAGTCAAAATTTTGTTAACCCATATTTTGTAAACATTATAACGTTTGGGTATCAGATGTGATTATTGTATATTACGTGTTAGAACAAATTGTGGGTTGTTACATATATATGTTTATTTAAACATTTTATCGGGGCTATTCTTAATTGTCATTTATATCATATATTCATGTCATATTGTGTATTCTAAATATTAACAGCTTAATGAGTTTGTTTGGTTAGCTATATATAATTGTTTGGTACTGACTTAATAATATAAAAAATGTCTTATTCAATGAATTTATAAGGGGGGTTTTATGCAGAAGGTCAAAAAAATCTAAACGTGTTCTTCCCAATTAAAAAATATGTTCATTCTATCTATGAAAAACCATTTCAAATAAAAAACATTTTCAATCTCTACAAACAACTTCAAGAGAATCATAAGTTATAAGTTGTTTGTTTACCTCTTAAAAGTTCAATTAAGAGACAAACTCTAAACCGTTAAGAGATGAATCTTGTCTGGCAAAAAAAAAAAAAAAAACCGTCTCCTAATGGTCCTAAAACCCTCTGAATGATTTTGTATCATGAACCTATCTTAACCATTCAACGCCCTAATGTCACTGTAAACAATTACGAAAAAATTATATTTCATGTTGCACTATATCATGAGAGTCTTTAATCATTATGACCACTTAATCATTCTGCATCAAATTATTCAGCAACTGCCAAACAACCCATAGTCTTTTTTAACATGGTATAAGTACAGATAACATAGATATAGATAAAGGCATAAAGACAAAAATATATAAGGAAAAATAAATTGCATGGAAAATATTTAATTACTTTAGCATAAACAATAAAAAAAAATTCATATGCTTAATTCGTCAGGTCCAACAACAAACATCAGTTTAATTTTAGGGCGGGGTTGATTTAGCAGCAGTGGATGACAAAATAACTTTATTACCTATTCCATTTATAAGAACTCTTACTCCAAAGAGCATTACATTATTGATATTCATCATAAAGTATATGGTTTTATTAAATAAAAAAAGGTAATTAACGAAAAAGCAACCAAAACTGATATTTAATAAACCAAAAAGACTAAAATATCACTAATTTGAATGAAAGATTTTTAATAGATTTAATCTCAAAGACAAAAACAACGATAAATTACAAACCATATAGGGGGTGTTTGGGATTATTTATAAAAGCTGTTTTTTAACTTATTTCAGTCTGGCACCTGTGATAAGCTGTTTTCTAGTGTTTGGATAAGAAAAAATAATAATTGCTTATACCGGTAATAAGCTATTTTTGATAAGTTAATCATTCCTGACTTATGAAAAAAAATTTATTACTAGTTTACAATTTTAACTATGTTTTATTTAACTCCGATTTAATACAACATAAGTTAATAAGCAATTTTACAAAAAAACATAAGTTGTTTTAAATAAGCAATCCCAAACACCCCATAAATGAAAAACGAAATTTTAAAAACAGGGACGAAAATCGTAATTTACTCGAATATAAGACAAATTAATTTGTATGTATTTATGATATTTAATAGTATGCTTAGATACACAAATATTCAATATTAGACTCATTCCGAAGGTATTAATGAGACAATAGTAACAATATAACTTGTAAAAAGAAAAACGTATTTTTAAATGTATTTTAGCTCATATACGATTATTTATGTTAATATGGTAAGAGTATAATATGAAAAATAAAAAAAAAATAAGAGATATAAAATAAATTAAGTAACTAATTATAAGAGTACAAAGCGTAATTTAAAATTTTTAAAGGATTTGATTTTGAATATAACGTGATTGGTTATGGAGAGATATATAGATAGTGAAGTAAAATTAAAAATGAAAAAAAAGAGATATAAAATAAATTAAATAAATAACTATAAAGTATAAAATGTAAGTTTCAAAATAATTCATTAGGTATTTATGATATTTAATAAGACGATTAAATAAAAAATATTTGATATTGTTCTCAATTTAAAGGTATTGATGAGACGACTATAATGATATAATTTGTAAAATAAATAAATGTATTTTTAATGCATTTTAGTTTATATATAATTATTTATGTTAATATGATAAATGTGTAAAATAAAAAATATAAAGTAAATTACATAAGTAACTACAAGGACATAAAATGTAATTTGAAAATTAAAAATATTTGATTTTCAATACTACGACTAGGATCGTGGATGTTCAACAAAATCTATATTTTTTAATACCGTAGAACACCAATCAAAGTTTGACGATTGCACTTTTTATACCCAAAAATATTTAATTACAAAATTCAGTTGAGTGGAAACACAAAACTGTTATCATGTCACAACATAAACGAAGAACCCTTTTAGTTGTACCACATGTTTCGCTCGTTTTTCCCCAAAGCTAGGAGTGCTTATGAGTTGAGTTGGTCGGGTTGAAGATATTTTAACAACTCAACCAAATGCTTGCAGTTTGAAATATCTTAACTCAACCCAATCCAAACTAATGTGCAACCCAAACCGCACGGGTTGGTCGGGTTAATAATGTGGTACATTAAAATGTACTTTTAACATTGAATATGTTATTTATATACTCATAATTTTTTTTCATCATCAACCATTTGATACAACTTATCCATACTTCTCATTTATATCACATTTATTAATTTTCTTAATTCACATATATATATATATATATATATGTATGTATGTATATATGTTCACAGTTACTGAACATATATACAAATGAGTTATATAGAGATGTGGATAGATTCAAAATACGTGTATATGAAGATTATACATGATAGTGTAATTGTCTAATGTATATATTAATAGAAATTCAACAATCATATTAAATACAAGAAGTAAAAGGATATCAAGTTCATCATGGTGTGTTCAAATAATAATAATCCAATATCAACCAAATAMCAATGGTTTAAATTTTATACAACTTGATTAGATATCGGATTACTTCAGGTTGAATTATTTCGCGTTGGGTTGATTAGTTAGGTTTTTGAGCACCCCTATCCAAAGCTACTTTCAACAAACGAAGAACCATTTTAATAACACATGGCAATATAGATAAAAAAGTAATTGTCGTCCATATAATTTTAAAATTACAAAATGACCATCGGAATTTTTTAAACCATTCGGTTTTGATTTATCTTTTTTAACGACTTCTAAAAGATTTCGTAAAACAACAAACGTTTTTGTTATTTTATTGATTTTTTACCCAACTAAAATCAATTTTACAATTTTGGTCCTTGTGGTTTATGATTGGGTGAAAAACAAAATAAGGGGCTGTTTGACAATTGCTGAATGGTTTGGTGCAGAATGATTAAGTGGTCAGAATGATTAAGAGGCTCTCATGATATAGTGCAAAATGAAATATAATTTTTTGGTAATTGTATACAATGAAATTAGGGTTCTTAATGGTTAAGGGAGATCCATAATACAAAATTATTCAGAGGGTTTTAAAACCATTAAGAGGCAACGTTTTTTTTTTTCCCAAACAAGATTAACCTCTTAACGATTCAGATGTTGCCTCTTAATGGAACTATTAAGAGGTAAACAAACAACCCCTAAATCGATAAAATGCCATACATGCCTCTCATTTAATAATTTTTTAAACGACTATTAAAAGGAGAGATCAAATACGAACATTTTTGCAAACCACGAGGACCATTTCGTATTTCGTAAACTGCATGAATAAAAAGCGTTGTTTTTGATAGATAACAATTTATTAAAAAACACCCGAACAAGAGATACAAAACCTTAAAAGCTGTGTTTTTTACTTTATGGTAAATGGCAATGAATACAAATTAATTTTAGGGGCCGTTTACTAAACGCTTACCCGGTAAGTACTTACGGGGTAATTTTTCTCACCGAATGAACATGACAATGACCAATAATCTTACCCGGTAAGAGCGATGATAAGAATTGAGAGTCTTACCCGGTAAGTGAGGGTGACGACTCTTACCTGGGTAAACGTTTACCAGGTAAATTGTTGTATATGATACGTTTTGATGTACTACAATCTTATCCAATAAAATAAATTATAGTGTCGACTTCTAACGTTAAACACTTACCGGGTAAGCATTTAAGTAAACAACCCCTTAGTTTATTTTAGTTTAGATTATTTTATTAATTTAAAATAGATCATTTTAAAAGTAATTTTAAATATAAATATAGTTATGAAGATATTCGAATTTAGAACAATTTTTATAACACTTTCTAAAATTGGACGATTTTAATATCCATTTAAAAATTCAGTAAATAAAAGAAGAAGTAAAAGGTAATAATAGAGCAACAGCACATGCAGCTCACGTGACAAATTTTGTTTTGCAAAGTTTATTTGAATTCAAATCTGAGAGCGCCGTTTCTTCTAAATCCAAAAAAAGAAGTCTCCCTCCCTCCCCCCCCCCCTCTCTCTCTCTCTCTCTCTCACACACACACACATACACACACATACACACAGAGAGAGTTGGAAGCCCTAGCAAAGGTAATCGATTTCTAGTATTCGTTTAATCTACAGTTGCTCATCCGAATAACCATACAAATTCGAATGAAATTGTATGTGTACATCGAGTTTTGTGTGGTTTATCATTAGCTGTTCAATTGTAGGGTTTGGCAATCTGAATCGAGATGGAAAGTTCCGATGGAAGAAACGGATCTCAGTCTGTTCGAGTTGCGGTTAATGTTCGACCTTTGGTTACTCCCGAGCTTCTTGTTGGTTGCTCTGATTGTATCAGTGTAACTCCAGGTGAACCTCAGGTGATTTCACTAACCCTAATTTAGTTGCTAGTTTCAAGTTTATTATGGTTTGGACTGAAGTGTTTTTATATTCTTTTGGTGAATTTTGTGCCAAAAATGATGAGATTAATATCGGAGTTGTTGTTTTATGGGAATTAGGTTCAAATTGGTTCGCATTCGTTCACCTTTGATTATGTCTATGGGAGTACCGGGTTTCCATCTTCTCGGATTTTTGACGACTGTGTTGCTCCTCTTGTTGATGCACTTTTTAGTGGCTACAATGCCACAGTGTTAGCATATGGCCAGGTATTTTGGTCTCCCTGTTCTGTTTATCTTTTACCTGACAATTTACTTGGGCAGTTTGTTTTATGATAGCCAATTATGTGTTTCAAGCTGTTAAGCATCTTATTTTCATATTGATTCTTCTCTCTCGTAATAAACAGACTAGAAGTATATGTTATAATTTTGAAGCTTATGATTTTTGCTGTTTATTTTTTGCCAAAGACGGGCTCGGGTAAAACTTATACCATGGGGACAAACTATAATGGAGAAAGCAGTAACGGGATTATTCCTAAAGTGATGCAAACCATATTCAAACGAGTAGAGGAGAGTAAAGGCAATACCGAGTTCTTGATCAGAGTATCTTTCATTGAGGTAATAAAAAACGAGGTCTTCAAAGTTTTTGCCATTATTTGTAAATTCTATACACATTTTCTTTTGTATTCTAATTATTTCCTGAAATATCATTTGACATTTCAGATATTTAAAGAGGAGGTTTTTGATTTATTGGAATCAAGTTCAATGGTTTATTCTAAAACGGAGGGGAATGGAAAACCAGCAGGGCCTTCTAGGGCTCCTATTCAAATAAGGGAAACAGCTAATGGAGGGATCTCTCTTGCTGGCGTAACAGAGGCTGAAGTCACCTCACAGGATGAGATGGCTTCATTTCTTTTGCGTGGATCTGTGTGCCGTGCGACTGGAAGCACAAATATGAACAGCCAATCAAGGTTTGTTTTGAGTTTACATCCACAAGTTTGTTCCTTCATCATCGCTCTTTCTTCCAAGATTAATTTGCGTTTGAGCAATGTAGTATTATTTTAAGTAGCTTTTATAGTATTACTTTGAGTAGATTTTTGAAAGAAGATCACTACATAAATTTGATATAATTGAAAAATGCATGTTATATCTTCATATCATATATACTGTGATTTTCTAAATGTAGCTATTTATGTATCTACTTTGTTTAGACAACAATTATTTTACATGTATGATGTATCAACTTTGCTTAAACAACATTTTTATTGCTTCAGTCGATCACATGCCATTTTCACGATTTCAATGGAACAAAAAAGAATTGCTGGCATAACAAACGGAGATGATAACGGGGATGACATATTGTGTGCTAAACTTCATTTAGTTGACCTTGCTGGTTCAGAACGGGCAAAAAGAACAGGAGCTGATGGGATGCGTTTACGGGAAGGTTTGATAACATTTATCACATTTTGCCTAGGAGTATATACATTTTTTCTCTCAATTTTTTCTGAACATTATGTGTTCAATTGCTATGCTATTGAATTCTGGTCCAGTTGCTATATTATTGTATCATTGGTTCATCCACCCCACCAGGTCAATTTAGTAGATCAGCGTGCTTACTTTCGGTGCCTAGCAACCTTGTTTTAAGTTAACAATATACTTTTGAGTTTTTTTTGGTGTAGTTGTACGTTAATGATTTATCTAAATTGGATGTCTATTGTTGTTCGTTGTGGTCTTAGGAATTCATATCAACAAGGGTTTATTAGCTCTTGGTAACGTGATAAGTGCATTGGGCGATGATAAGAAGCGGAAAGAAGGAGGCCATGTTCCCTATAGAGATAGCAAGTTAACCCGTCTTTTACAGGTATGGAAGTAACATCGTAGAATGTCTTCTTAACAAAAATTTAAGGGGGGAGGGGGTGGTGGAAACGACTCATTTCCGTTTCAAGTGTTGGAGTTTCACCTTTTAAATGCATTTTTTTCCAGGACTCTCTCGGAGGAAATAGCAAAACAGTTATGATAGGTATAATGCTATGAAACTTTATCATGCTTGAGCTCTAAAGAAATTGAACTAAGGTTCTTTAACACATGGCTTATTTAATTGCATTAATATAATTATTATTATGTATTCTGTTTTTTTTGGTAGCTTGTGTAAGTCCAGCAGACACGAATGCAGAAGAAACCCTTAACACATTGAAGTATGCCAATCGAGCTCGTAACATTCAAAACAAAGCTATTGTAAGATTGATTGCTTCCCAGAGTTAAAGATAACTTCCTATTGATTATTTCATCATACGGTATCATATTCTTTTATCATGTAGGTGAATCGTGATCCAGTTACAGCTCAAATGCAAAGAATGAGGAATCAAATTGAACAATTGCAAGCTGAGCTTCTTTATGTAAAGGGTGACTCTTCCACACCGTTCGAAGAACTTCAGGTGAGGCATTTTTTAAATTGTTAGTTCATGCCCTTAATCCACGTAGATGCGGGATTTAAGAATATATCTCTTGTTTGCCAGATTTTGAAACAGAAGATAGCAGTGCTTGAAACAAGTAATGGAAACTTGCAAAAGCAACTTCAAGAACAAGTAGTCAGTGTTGAACATTTGACTAAACAAGCAATTGATGCTCAAGTAAGTTAGAACGGATGAATGTGCTTCTTCCCCTTTTCAACTTTGTTTTGTTTGAATATGGAAAAATGCTGCATCACAAGTGGCGTGAATCAACTAGTTCTGACACATTTTATTATCTCAGTTTGAGAAAGACAGGTTGTTGCTAAAAATTGAATCTGCTCGTGATGGTAAACCATGGGATGAGATCGATTGTGACTCAAATCAGGTTGAATGAATTTTCTTCTTGACTTCTGTTATGTACTGGTTTGTTAAATTAGGAAAACCTGACCATGTCAGAACTTTCAGGACATGGATTTATTGAAAACGTATGTGTCAAAAATTCAAGAATTAGAAGGAGAATTGCTGCGCTTGCGAAGATTGAATACTTCAAAACGTAGTGAACTTATTGATTACCTGGATTTGGATGACAACGTTCTTCACCCTAAAAGTGGTTTATTCCCAGAATCTGATTCTAAAGGTGCTGAAGTTGTTGGTAAGCTGCTATGTACTAATTTGGAATGTAGTGTAGACAGATTGTATCCTTGTAGGATTCTTAACAAGTGGCAATGTTGTAAAAGTCTAACGCGAAAGCCAAATCTTTTTAGTTTCTTTCTACTTTATCACATGCTCACATAGTGCTCATTGAATGTAGTTGAATTTGTATAGTTAGCATAGTGTGGAACTTCACTAAAAGTGCAGTTTATGTCAATGTTCTTTGCTCATGTTAGTTAGCAATTAAAGCAATTTACAATCATATCTGTATGTAGGTGACTCAGAAGATGAGGAGAAGGAGCTAGAACATTGTTCTTTGCAAGAGAAACTGGACAACGAGCTCAAAGAATTGGACAAAAAACTTGAACAAAAGGAGGTAAATGTTATCTTTTGCTTGCTTTATACCAAGCTTTTAGTCATGCCTATACAGCCAACAGAAATTGTAAATGTGAATTCAAAGTAATACAGAATTTGCCTAGTGTTGGTTCTTGTAGACGTATGCTGGTATGAGTTAATAGGCTATTGTCAACATAGATACATGACTTATCACCTAAAGTGGCAGACATACTATATCTGGTACAGGAAGGGATGGAAAGATATGCAAATTTAATACATCTATATTGGCATGAACTACCAAAGTGAATTAAGCAACTGGACTTTCCCATTTCATTGATTGTTCAAAAGTTGAAATCTTCTGCAGTTGAACAGCTGAGAAGTTGGTATTTATCACTGCTTAAATGAGAAAGGCCAGCTAGAAATAGCAATGTGAAAACCATTTAAGCTCAAAGATCTTTGAAGAGTACTATATATTTGGATGCTATGACTGGCACAAGCCACAAAAGTATGGAAAACCACTACTAAACAATAAGTTGTTTGTCAAAAGATAAAACTCTATGATGTGTTGGTCTGAAAAATAATGTCAAGCCAACACCTTTAGTGTTCCCATTGAATGCACTATGTTTCTAAGGTCACTTGTTAGGCTGCTAACTTTTTTCTTAATTTTCTGTAAATACATGAAAGGCTGAAATGAAGCGGTTTGCGGGTGGTGATACCTCTGTTCTTAAGCAACATTATGAGAAGAAAGTTCAAGACTTAGAACAGGAAAAGAGAAATTTGCAGGTTTTCTCCGTCATTCATTCTTGATTCCTTCAAAATTTTAAGCAAAGAAGTTAAAACCTCTTCCCCTTATTTCTATGATTGATTGACAGAAAGAGATTGAGCAACTTAGGTGCAACCTTGCAAATATTTCTTCCACCTCTGATGATAGCACTCAGAAGTTGAAGGAAAACTATCTTCAGAAGTTGAACTTTTTGGAGGCACAGGTGAGTCCATTATCTTAGAAAATTTAGTAAGTTGATTTTAATCAGGTAAAGCTTGTATAAGTTCAATTTAAGCCAATCTGAATTTCATGTTAGAAATAGAATTGGACTTCTCTTAAGCTGAAACAGGTGAAATCAAAGGGCATTACTGTACAACACCGTTGTGAGTCTTATTCGTTGTATTTGAGTCTTGTTATATGTGATAGATTCATTAATATTGTCAAAATAAAATTGTAGCAATTGTCCATGTATGTAAATTACTATTATATCAACATAATCTTTTGATAAATGCACAACCTACCTTGACAAGATGATCAAAAGTTTTCAAATTATGGAAAATCTTGTGGATCAAAATCATATTGCTAACTTTTTGTATTAATGTTTGACCAAAGAAGCAATAAAATTACGAGTAACAATTTTTTGTGTGCTATCTTGAGAGTAATAACTCCATAATGTCCTTGAACTTCAGGTTGTGGAGCTGAAGAAGAAGCAAGATGCTCAAGCACAACTGCTAAGACAAAAACAAAGGAGCGATGAGGCAGCCAAAAAACTTCAGGATGAGATTCATAGAATCAAAACACAGAAGGTCTTATTTCTGTTTTGAAGAAGCTTTTTAAGCAGCACCTTCAAAAACAATATTTCATTAAATCCATGCATCTAATCTTTCTTTGATTATGCATGTTTAGGTTCAATTACAACAAAAGATAAAGCAAGAATCTGAGCAGTTCAGACTATGGAAGGCCTCAAGGGAGAAGGAAGTACTTCAGGTATAGATACTTTTATATAAGGAATTCAGATCATCATTTTTGGAATGATGTTTCTCATATTTATTTATCTGAGATCTTGTTAAAACTTGGACCTTCTTTTTATGTTGATATATCAGTATCTTCTTATATTTTCATTTCTTGCTATTTGTAATATGAACAGCTTAAGAAAGAGGGAAGAAGAAATGAGTATGAGATGCATAAGCTACTAGCTCTTAATCAAAGACAGAAAATGGTAAGTTGCATATAATCTGTTATTTATTTACTTGGTTCCCTTTTTTGTTGTTCTAACTCACGCACCAATATCTTTGTACTTACCGTAGGTTTTGCAACGGAAGACAGAAGAAGCTTCTATGGCTACAAAAAGATTGAAGGAGTTGCTAGAATCACGGAAGGCTTCTTCACGTGAAACATTTGGTAAATTTCAACCAAAATTATTTATTCAATCATGTTTTTATCTTACCTTTTAACCATTTACTGGTGCAAACACTTGTGCAGGAAATAGCAGTGGCCCTGGAGTTCAGGTATACTAATTGAATGCAGAATTGATTATTTTACTCGAATCATAGTAAACTGCTTTTGTCGATATGTGTACTCATAAGTGTCTAGCAATTAATGGGCTCCATTTATCACTCTGCTTGCATAGAAATTTTTTGTATTGTTAAATACATAATCTCAAATTGTACAATAGGCACTGATGCAAGCAATTGAGCATGAACTCGAGGTTACTGTCCGTGTGCATGAAGTACGTTGTGAATATGAGCGTCAGAAGGAAGAGTGAGTGTTGATAATAATTCTTTTTCAACAAACTCTGATGATTAGGCATTCTTTTTAGTATATAAGTTACTTTCTTTCCTGAATTACTTTTGTGAATATGGTATTCCAGGAGGCTTAAAATGGCTAAGGAGGTATCAGAACTCAAGGATGAAGCAAATGCCGCAAAGCGAACAACTTTAAGGTTTTGCTGATTTCACCTTGATGTCCTTGCTTACTCCCTCCCTCTATCTGCTCATTGAATTATTTGGTTTCTTCATGGGGGTATTGCAGTGATTGTGCTCAGACTATGTCGCCTGGTGCAAGAAATTCAAGGATATTTGCTCTTGAGAATATGCTTGCTACTTCATCCAGCACTATTGTTTCAATGGCCTCGCAGTTGTCAGAAGCAGAAGAGCGCGAACGGGCCTTTAGTGGCAGAGGTCGCTGGAATCAAGTTCGTTCTCTTGCTGAAGCCAAAAACATCATGAACTATTTGTTCAACCTGGCATCCTCTTCAAGGTATTCATTGCTTTGAAGTTTCAGGCTTTTTATCAATGAGGGATTGTTTGAGAACTTCAATTGAAAAAATATCTTCCTTTTCTAAAGGTGCCAGCTATGGGATAAAGAAATTGATTGTAGAGAGAAAGATTCAGAGATAAGAGGTTTGAAGGAAAAAATAGTCAATTTGATAAGACAAGTGGAAATGCAGAAGGCAGAGCTCAGTCGGCTTGAGAAGTTCAAGGTTTGTGTAATCTTTTTCTTATGTATGAGATTCATTTCTCGTCTTGAAACAAAAACGTTTATTTGTTTTAGGCTATGTTTGACAAACTAGCCGAGAAGTTAACTGTTCATAAACTAACTGTTAGTTGAAAAGCTGCTGGTTGTTGACTAATATGCTAGCTGTTAGCCGATAAACTAGTCACGTTTGGTAAAAATTTGCTTATAAGCTAGATGACATTGTAAAATGACCTAAAAGAAAAATATAAAGAGGCATAAGTGGAGAAAAGTTTCAATAAACTATCTGAATTAGCTTTTCAAAAAGCTAGCCGTATATATCTTAGTGTCTTGTCAGATGGGCTTTTTCAATAAGTTAGAAAAATAAGCTAGTTAATATTTGCCAAACATGCCTTAGTCTTGCAAGTGTCAGTGAAGGAAAAAAATCATTTTTCTTACTTTGAAAGTATTTGCTGTTATTTAGCAGAAGCTCATCATGTCAAGGAGTTTCAAGAAAAAGACAACCAATCAAGTTTCCGCCATAGATGACAGCGAAGGGCATGTATATGATCTGCGACCGAAGGTATTTTTGTAATTTCCTTCTGCTCAGATCTCAAATTCTTGCAGAAGTAGTAGTAATTTTTGTAAATTTCTTGCAGGGACTCCGAAACTCCATAGCTTATGAGTTATTGGAAGACATGGACACATCTGAGTCAGAACATTCTGACTTTGAAGTTGATCCTGAATATTCAATAGATTCCGAGGATGAGTGGGGGAATAAACGGAAACGAACATCGAAAAAAACATCTTCAAATGAAGGAGATACAAATGTGATTCAGAAACCACCATCGGAAACTTGTTGTTCATGCAGCAAGTCCTCTTCTTGTAAAACAATGAAATGCGAGTGCCGAGCTGTTAGGGGTGCTTGTTCCATGTTGTGTGAGTGCCACCCCAGAAAATGTAGTAACCGAGAAGTAGCAGTTGCCAAGGAGTCTGATTCGCGACCATTGGTTACTGGGGAAGACAACGTGATTTTATCAGATGCTGAGGAAATAGAGAAAAGCAGCAGCGCACTTGCAACTCATGGCGCAATGCTACTTCAGGCAGCCCTTGCAGATAAGCCTGCTGAGACTAAAGACGCCGATGGCTCAAAAAGAAAGCCGTTATCCGACATCGGAAATAAAATTGTAAGTTTTAGACTAAAACCAAACGAATTCGGTATCTCTCATATAAATGTAAAGTCTGATGGTAGGATGTATGCAAATCTTGCTTTTGTTCTGTATTTGAGTTCCAACGTAGCCCTTTAATAACTTGAACTTTTTCGTAAGTTGTTTTTTCCGTTGTGTGTTTCAATTTTTAATGTCATTATTTTCAGGTGAAACCAAATGCACCAAAACCGAATGCCCCTAGAAAGAAATGGCGGAAATCAGTACAAATCCAACTCATTCCAGTGTCATCGGACCAACCGCAAGTAGCAGAACCCGAAGCTCCAAAGAAACAAGAGAGTAGTGGCACAGCTGAAACTAGTATCCCATTGAGGTTACCTAGAGCTATGCGATCTGCAATGTCAAATGCCAATAATGCCCCTTTAAGAGACAGAAATATCGAACAACAGTCCGTTGATTCAACGGTGAATAAGGAAGCCGATCATGCAGAAGCTCCTCGTAGACCAACGGCAAACGAGAAAGAGAATCACGGGGTTTAAGGTAATTAAATTCACTTTTCTTTGGCATGATTAACGTAAAAACTAGGATCAATGAATCAAACCAAAGAATAGGGAATCGGTCATTAATTCTTCATTGTTGACGGTCTCTTTTTGGTACGATGAAAAGATGCGTTTTTTTTATGTATGATGATTGATCAATCTTACATTTGTAAAATCATTTGAATTTGTTCCTCTTCTTATTTGCCAGTGATGATGACTCTTTTTAACCAAAGCTTTGTTGATTCTTGTGGTGCATTTTTACTTTTGTTTGTTTTTATGTTGAATTGTAAAGACTCTTGAAGGATTTTTGGCAAATGTAAATGGAAATGTAGTTTTTGAGGTGTCCTTTTGTTTGTTGTTAAATTGTTTCTTGAATTATTTATTTTGAGATGAATTTGAAGATTTTCCCTTTACAAATTTAAGTATTGAACAAAAATAGGGCTCTATTAAATTGAATTGAATCAGGTAGTCTCGTTTGCTTTCGTGCAATTGTGTCAAAAAATCCTTAATTGGTAACTGCTTTAGACCCTAACAAGGTCCGGTCATAACCAATTTTAACTGCTATTAGTCCACCCATTGGTCATATGATTGGTGGTTTTTTTTTTTTTTTTTTGGATTTTGACTAAATTAACTCTCTAAAAATTCAAATTACAAAAATAACCTATAAAAAAATCATATTTAATGGCTCTCCACTTAACACTACACATTGTTCGGTGCATAGGGTTTTTTTTTTTTTGCAATTTTTTTTCTTATATATATATATATATATATGATGATATGACCTCCTTTTATGTGACGGTGGTTGATGGTTTAGCACTGGTTGATGCTTAATGCGTAAGAACCTCACCCTTAATATATTATAATACGTTCTAATATAAATAAACATATTTTATTATATTTTAATGAAAATAAGCATATTTATTTATTATAATAATATTTTATTAAAACTTAATGATTAATAATATATAATTACTTTCTATAGTTAATAAATA